TTCCTTTAAAATTTACTGATTTTATAGGTTTAATACTGTTCTACCAAATTTGTGCTCACTGTTCTAGATCAATATTATGACCAACCCTCAGAACACGGCCAAAAAGCCCGCAAAACCCACAACAACCATTAGATCCCGGCCGTGAAAGCCTTCACGAATACAAATCTAGAGAGACTTTCTGTTCTTCTAGCTCCTCTCTAATCTTTAACACCCCATCCTTCATAAGCAAATCTCTATATCTCAAAAGTTTTGTGGAGTCCATTAAGGTTGGCTGTATAAATGCTTCGAATGGCAACACCCACCCCAGAATGCTTCTATGCATTTGCTTTTTTATATTATTCCAAAGCCATAACAAAGACTTCCTTCCATATCAGATTGCTGAAGACTTTATGATCTTTAGATTTTTGGTACTGTACAAAACCATGTCACCCCAGGCCAAGATCATGTCCCTCCAGTTTAAGAAGTCTCTCATTATCCAGAGTAACCCATTCCTTAGTCCTGGCCAGTACACAGGCCTTATAGTAGATATTTCTATCCGGAAGACTAAACCCACCCTTTGTTTAGAATCTTGTAATGCCTTCACTTTAACACTTGTTTTTCCCCCTTGCCAAACAAATTTAATTATTTTTCTATTAAATTCCTGAAGAAGTGTTTGCTTTAACTTCACTGGTATTGTCTGAAAAAGAAAGATAAATTTAGGTAGGACAATCATTTTGAGTACTGCTATTCTTCCCATCAATGAAAATTGGAACTAATCATACTTTTCCAAATCTCTCTGTATTTTTAATCCTCTTATGTTTTTGCTAATCCTGATTTGCTCATTGAGGACTTCCAATGAGAGTATAAATAATAGTGGAGATAACAGGGAACCCTGTTTTGTCTCCTTCTGTATTTGAATGTCATTTGTAAAGTCTCCATTAATTTTGATTTTGGTTTTTCATTTAGTATAGATTGTCTTTATTAACATGATAAATATCTCCCCCATGTACATTAATTCTAGTTGCTGTATCATAACATTCCAGTTCAGACTGTCAAATGCATTTTCTGCATAGCCATTGATTTCTCCAGATGCACTTCATAATATTCCACTATGTTCAGAATCATTCTAAGATTATTTCTTATTTGTCTCTTTGGAAGGAAGCCAGATCCTCATGAACTACTTGTGAAAGAATCTTTTTCAGTCTAATTGGTAATACTGTAGTATAAATTTTATAATCCACATTTAGGAGTGATATCAGTCTATAGTTTTTAAATTTCCATAGCCTCAGTTCCCTCTTTGTGAATTGTGGTAATTAATGCTTCTGTCCATGCTGACAGGATTATCCCTTCTTGAGCTATAGCTTCTAGTAGTTTCTTATGTGATTTAAGTAGTATATCCTCAAAAGGTTTGTAATATCATGCTGGAATCCCATCTCATCCTGGGGATTTCCTGTTCTTTTGCTTCCTGAAGGCTTTTTGACAGGGTGCTTTGCGGAATAGGAGGCACTCAAGCAGAGATTAATCCATTTCAGGATGTCAGCAAACAAAGCAGACAGTATTGAGAGTAGTAAAGTAAATCTATTGAATCAGTGTTGTAGCAGTATTAATGCATACAGAATAGTCCTTTTTTAATAGTCCTTGGTCATACACATAACAGCAATTTAGTCAGTGTCCATTTACCATTCAATAAATCAGCATCTGTAGTAAATTCTGCTTTATAAATCAATCCAGCAGAGTTTTTCCCTCGTCTCTGTCCACTCAACCCACAAAACAAGTGTGCTAAGGCTGTCAGCTTTATTTCTCCTTGCAGCCAATTGGAGATTGGCTTCTGTAGCCTTCTTCTCCTGCATTTTGTTTCCACAGCTGCTTGGAGTTAAATGTTATCTTGTTCCTAGCACAGCTGCAGTACTTTTAACAATTCTTTCTACAGAACTTTCTTTATAAACTTGATCAACAATTCCTACAGATATTTCTAAGACCTGACACTTCTACTATTTCATTAAGTGAAAATGGCTCATTCAAGTCTGCTTCTGTTCACTTGGCAACTTTATATCGCTGTGTTTCTCCAGATATTCTCTCTATTCCTCTTTGGGCATCTGTTTTTGCCAATATAAATTTTGATGGAATTTCTCTACAATCCTCTTTATTTCTTCTTGTCTATATTTTATCACTCCTTTCTTATCTTTCAGGTTCTGAATTATGATTTTCCTCTTTTTTTCATAGTTTATATACCAACCACCTTCCTGGTTTATTTGCATTTTCAAAAAAAAAGTCTTGCAAATTTTATCTTTTTTGCCATTTCTTCTGTCATCAAAACATTCAGTTGATGTTGTCTTAATTTTATTTTCATCCTCAATTGTTTCTTGCTCGGGTTCTACTTTAACTGTTTTTCTCATGAAAACTGTGTCTTCTAGTTCTCTATATTTTGCCATTCTCTCTCAATCTTTTGTCTTGCTGCAATTCTTATTAAACCTTGAAAAAAGACTACTCGCTTCCCATACTGTTACCATTGATGTTTCTGAAAGCGTATTAAGTTTGAAAAATATATCCATCTCTTTGTTTTGAGAAAATATCATTTTTCAAAAGGAATGTACAGTATTTAATCTCCAATATAAAAAATTAGATCCCATTTCCAATTGCACCAAGATAGAACTATGATCTGCAAAAGTGTTAGGCAAAATGTCTATTTCCAATACTTATTTTATCCAGCCTAATGAGATCCAGCATGCATAAGTTCTTGACCAACTTTTATGTCTATCCAAGTAAAATGTAAAGTCTCTTGCACTTGGATGCTTTGTTCTCCAGGCGTCAACCATATTAAACTCTCCTGCTAGCTATAGGAAGTGTTTCGGTATTTCTTCTTGTTGTTTTTGTCTTTCCTTCTCCTCCACTTATATCTAAATGTCTATCAAAGATGGCATTAAAATCTCCCAAAATGCAATTCTCCTCATATTCTCTCCTTGCTTTTTCTTTTTGACATTCTTCATAAAACAGTTCTTAGTTTTTATTGGGGGCATATATATTCATAATCAACACCTTTTTTGCCTCATTTTGGATTTCAACCCTCGCATCTTCAGATTAAAAACTAATTTTGGGTCCAATTCCTTTCATATATATGTTCCCACACCTCTCTTTTTCTTATTTAAATCTGCTCCTATAAATAATTCTCCTATTTTTTAAAAAAATCCTAATAGATGTTGATCTGTTCTTTTCATATGGGTTTCTTGAAGACAAATAATACCCAATTTTCATTTCTGCAGTTGTTGCTAAATTCTTTTACACTTTTGGGACAAACTTAGGCCATTTACATTAACTGATAGAATTGTAAACCGTTTTTTACTCACTTGATCCATCTTTATTATAAAGGTTTTCTTTCCTCCTCTTAGATCATCTTGTTATATAGTGGGCTTTCCTTTGGCACTCCCTGTTTGGTCTTCTGGCTCAGATTCTGAGCTTTCTCCTGAGTCTGGATCCAATGATCCACTTGATCCCTAACCCTAACCCTCTTCCTGTTTCTTATATGTCTTTTTATTTTCTTTCCTACTCAGCCATTTCCTCCCTTTTTTCATAAAATCTTATGCCTTCCTCATTGAGTTAATCGAATATCTCTGTGATTGATATTGGAAAAGACATTTTTAAGGTATCAGCCAATTATATGTAATTGAGTTTGCTCTCAAGAGCTTTGTCAGCTCTGTGTATTCTCTCCTTTTCTGTCTTATTTTCCATGGAATATGTTTCAGAATCTTAATTTCTTTCTCTTTTATACAGTGGTGCCTCGCACAACGAGGTTAATCCATCCCGGATTAACCCTCGCTGTGTGAAACATCGCTGAACGGGGCAGAAAAGCCCATTGGAATGCATTAAACATTGTTTAATGCGTTCCAAATCGGCTGAAAACTCACCGTTCAGCGATGCTTCTGGGGTCCGGCAGCCATTTTCGCGCCCTCCCCTCACTGAACGAGGGCATGAAAATGGCTGCGATCAGCTGTTCTGCGGCTTCAAAATGGCCACAGGAACAGCTGAAAGGGCCGGGCGCAGCGTATTCGCGCCCTTAGTAAGCGAGGGGAGAGCGCGAAAACGCTGCGCGCAGCCATTTTGGTTGTTCCAGCAGTGTTTTTGCACCCTCCCCTTGCTTACCAAGGGCGCGAAAACGCTGCGCCCGGCCCTTTCGGCTGTTCCGGCGGCCATTTTGAAGCTGCGGAACAGCTGATCGGCGGGGCGCAAAGCGAAGGTCGGTAAGCGAGCAGCTTACCGACCTTCGTTCTGCGATTTTCGCCTATTGGGGCCATCGCTGTGCGATCGCATTAGCGATTGCAAGAGCATCCTCGTAGAGCGAATTCATCGCTCTACGGGGCGCTCGTTGTGCGAGGCACCACTGTAGTAGAATATTTATTTTGCATGATCTTTAGAATTTTTTCTTGAAATATAATTATTGTGAATTTAACATTAATTTCTCTGGCAAGTTCATTATTCCTGGTATATGCTGTAATTAATTATTCTTATTGTATTTATATTTTGCTGCACTTATTTTGATCACATCTCCATAACTGGGCCTAGAATAGTTATCAATTGCACTGTGTCTTCGTCTTTTTGTTCTGGAAAATTCAGAAATCTAAGAATGAGGTTGGCTCTCTCCATTTGTACCTTTAGCCCTGTCACTGTGTTCTTCATGGTCTCAATGTTGGGTCTGAAGATGAGAAGAACTTGCTTATATGCAGACTGTACCTCTGAACAATAAGCCTTGAAAATTTGGGTTCTTGTTCATGTGTAGAGCCTCTACACAAGCAGGACCTTTCACCTCTTCACATGTTCTGCAGTCAACATGAACAATGCAGTGATGGCAGGGGGCAGGGCTAGGCGCTCCCTTCTAGGTGTATTTACCTCACCTGAACAGGACTCTTGCCCAGGTCATAATAGACATCAGGCCCCAAGGACATGCAGTCTTTACCCTCAGCTTCCACTAAACACTTGAAAGCTAGCCCTTACTCCAATTTGCTACCTGGAAAGAATGACAGGCCCTGTTGCTGAGCAGTGAAGATGCTGACAGTCTGGTAGGTTTTAAATGAGGGAGGAGGGTGGAAGGGAAGGGGCCTTCCTGCCATCAGAGCCAGCTTTTCAACATTGCTTTGAAGCAATTTGCAGAGGCCTGACTGCAGCCAAAGTCACTCCTAATTTGCCACCTGCAGCTTTGGCTCCACCTTTAGGAGCTCTGTTCTTGTTCAGTGGTTGCTATTTTAGCAATGAGGAGTTTTATGCCTTTCTGAGCATAAATAAGGTTATGCATTTCCTGATTCTCTAAACTGTTGATTCACCATGAATAAATGTGTCTAGGTCATTTATAGTGTTTCTTCTCAATTATATTAATCTTATTTTACCTAATAAGGAGAAAAATGTCTTTGTTTCAGATTCACAGCAAAGCTGCAAGAGAAGGGGAAAACACAGGAGAACTATACAGGCAGAAACGCCAGGGTATGTTGATATCTATAAACAGCATGTTTTGTTTGAGTATGGCAGATTTTTTTGGCAATACAGCCAGTTATGCTAACTCATTTGTTTTTGGTCATTATACACATACCAAACAGGTTGCCTGGATAGCTTGGCATGTGCAGAAGCCATCACTTTCAACTCTGGGGGACAAGAAGATTTAGATGACACTTTTGTCATATGTAGAGTGCAATTCAGCCGAAGAGAAGGAATGACCAGAGTTTAGTTTACCGTATTTGCTGGCGTACAAGATGACTTTTTGGCCCTGAAAAACATGCCTCCAAGTGGGGGGGGTCATCTTGTACGCTGGGTGCATGTCCAGCAAACCCTCCCTCTCTCCCAGCAAAGTCACCTGGTAGTAAGACCAAGTAGAGCCCCGCTCCTAGCCTGGGAACAGCCTGACTCTAGTGCCAAACAGCTGACTGTCGGAACAGCAGAGAGGTGGCAGCCATTTTGAGATGCGACCACATGGCTGCTGCCTCTCAAAATGGCTGCCGCCTCTCCAAAATGGCTGCCGCCTCTCTGCTGTTCCTTCTTCCAGCAAACCCTGGCTCTCTCCGAAAAGGAACCAAAAGGAACTCTCCCCATGATGCAGCCAAAGCAGAATCATGCATGCGGAAGAGGGGGTAGTCTTATATAGCAAGTATATAACAAACTCTACATTCTGAGTGGGAATGTTGGGGGTGGTCTTATACACCCAGTCGCCTTATACACTGGCAAATACGGTAGGCATCCTTCAGTCTTGAAAGACTATGGTAACGTGCTCTGTATGGAGGACTTGGAACAGTGTCTAGTGTGGCTGAGGAGGATGAATTGAGAGTGGCAATCCCTTCCACACTGAAGACAAATGCAATCTGCCCCCTGTCCAGCTCCCTGATTTTGTTGCATTTGTGACTGCCTCTTTGCCTCGGCCTGCTGGACAAAGGTCTCTTCAAATTGGGAGAGGGCATGATGCACCGCCTGCCTCCAGGCTGAACGCTCAGCTGTCAAGGTTTCCCATCTGTTGAGATCCATTCCTAAGGCCTTCAGATCCCGCTTGCAGATGTCCTTGTATCGCAGTTGTGGTCTTCCTCTGGGGTGATTTCCCTGCATTAATTAGTGTGACATGATCTCTAGTAATCTGCGCAAGGGATATGGCAGGGTAATGCCATGCTGCCCCCCTTTTTGATATTGTAAATTGCCCCAAAATAGACTGTATGTATTGTAGGCAAGCAACAAGAACATCAGTGTTTGTTTTGGTTGGCACATGAAACTTGAAGGATCAACATAGTGAGGCTACCTGACTTATTCCCCCTAGATGTTTGGAAACACAGACATTCCCTTTGCACTTTGTAATAATATTAGGGGAACACCAATGTAATACAGCTATATTGTGAGACAAGAAAGAAATAAGTTTAATTCGGAGCCCCAAACATCATCAACTCTGGAGACTACATATTGAAATTGGGTCTCATAGCTTATCAACCATTGGCAACCCAATCCAAAATATTTGGGGCCCATCCTATTTGAGGCAGAATGGGAGCTGGAGTAGACAATCCGAAAGAAAAAGGTCAGAGCAATAACAAAGCCATATAGAAGCAGGTGTGGGCAAAGCAAGCTGCCCACTTGAGAAAGAAGCAGTGGAAGCAAATGTCTTTTCATGAAGGTGTCCTTTTTCCTAATTGTGGAATTTTCTAGACTAGACATGTATAAATTGTTCATGTGAACAAAACAGGAAATGGTAGATGGATTGTAACACGGCCTACCATATCACCTTGTTTTTCAGTGGTTACACTGGGCATCTCACCTGCAGAATACACCGTTGCTATTGAGATGAACTTTTCTGATTCCTCACTCCAGGAGAGCCTGAAAAGTCATTTAAAGAAGCTTAGCTTTCCACTCTTGTTAAATGTGTCTGATTCATCTGTGAAAATTTCAAGTATTAATGTTTCCACAGGTGAGTATCTTGTAACCAGTGCTATTCACTTTATTTGCTTTCAGATTTCAAAAATCTCTTCATTAAGTGAATGTCCTATATTGAGAGGATATATAGTAGGATCCCTGTATCCACAGGATCAGTATCTGCAGTTTCGCTTATCCACAGTCTGAAAATATTAAAAAATATTAAAAGAAAAAAACCCAGAAAAACCTATTCACATGTATTACCAGAACTATAAATTATCTCTTAGAGGGATACCAGAGGGAGCAAGAGACCATACTGTGAATACTTGTTAGTGTAAAATACATGGCATAGCCTCTTGCTCCAGTTCTGGTAATGCATGTGAAAATAATGTTTTCTGTTTTTCTCCCCTTTTCCTTTTCCTATACACTATATGGTCTCTCTCTCTCACACACACACAACACGCGCGCACACACACACGCGCGCACACACACACACGTTTGCTATTATCCACAGTTTTCAGTATCCATGTTGAGGCTTGGAACCAATCCGTAGCATATATTGGGTTACTGTATTACAAACTGCAGCAGAATTGTGTTTTCTTCTATTGGCTGAGTTCCTGAGGTGTTATATTTATAGAGCAAATTAACAACCATGTAAATATTGTATGCAACTTGATTATATACTTCGGAAAATTCAGGTTACATAAGGCATATACATTTCAATAATTTTAAAAATTAACAGTCAGCCATTTTATGTTGAATTTTGAAGAGGTTTAGGAGAATCCAGTAAGATTTTTTGTGTGATGGGCAGTCCTAATTTGCATATGCAACTGTTTCTATTTATGCTAAATAGGTTTACTATTTAAAGGGTTTTAATCTCTGAATCCTGGAATAGGTAAGAGAAAGCGATAAACATTTTCTCCTTTTTTCCCCTCTTATCTTGGATGGAATATAGCTTTTCTGTATTGTGCAACTGCATTTTACTTACATTGGGAAAGGTGAGGGAGAGGTTAAAGAGTTTGAGAAGAAAGGGGGAAAACAGTGTGGCTCTTGAGCTTCCCTTTAGTGGGTATTTTATTTTTCAGGCTACAATGTATTCTGTACCTACTTATCCAGACGTAAGACTCACTGAACTCACTTTAAATGTGTCTAAAGTGTTAAAAAAGAAAGCATATGCCAAAAGTGGAAATGCTGGACATGTTCAGAGACAATTTGACACCAAGTCCCATGACTCAAGTCCCCATAATGGCATTATGCCTCCTGGGTTGCTTTGAGCAAAACTGAACAATCTTAGATGACCATCAGAAGGAACTGATCAATTACTTGTGATTAATTTCTACATTCAATAAATTCTGGGAATATCACCATAACTTGAAATGCATTTGACAGCACATCGTCATCTTACTGAAGCCTTTGTATCTTAATCACGAGTAAGGCAAAGATTTCTATTTGACCTAAAAATGTCAAAAATGCATAAGCATTTATGACCTTAAAATTGTTTAAATATGTCCAATTAAACCACAGATATGATGTTACACTTTTTCTGTAATTAGCACCAAACATTTAAAAGTCTGTGCTGATACACACATAAATTAAAAGGTGTATTCTTCCTTTCCAGTGTAGAAGTACTAGTATTGAAGGAATCAAATTAACATTTAGAGAATAAAATGCTCATACCTGGATTAATTTTGGTCAGTTGCATTGGATGAACTTCTGTTGTCTGTCAGGATGTTCTTGTATCTGGAGAAACTCCATTTGATATCATAAGGAGTTATAAGAACAAATCTGGAAAAAGCCAACTAATTTGGAGAAAATTCTGGTCAGGGTCATCAAATTTTCCTTCAAGTCCGTTTAGAATAGTGCAAAGTGTTGATTAACCCAGATTACATTGTGGCACTCTTTGCAGTGCCACAATGTAATCTAATTTTTTAGCCTCCTTCCCTTTTGCTTGCTTTAAATCACCCTCAGTTTGTTTCATAATTTCTAGTGCATCACGAAGTTCTATTCCTACAGTTTCAAGGCAGTGATTGTTCTTGGTAATCCACTGAAGTTAAAATGGATATATCCCAAGTCTCCAGCCAAGGTTACAGAAAAGGACTCTTGCACAGTTTTTTTTTCTATTTCAAATTTTTATTCCTTTCAATGGGGATAGGGTTATTGGAAGGGGAATTTGAGGTCGGGGGAGGGTAGATATGGATAGAGAAAGGGTAAAACTCCAGAGAGTGGGATAGTACATTTGCATCAACGTATAATTATACTACAAAGTGAGATAAAAAGAGAAACAACACATTTCCCAAGTATTACTATAGTTACTTATCCATCTATTCCCTACTTGGACCCTCACATTCTTCTTCAACCTGTGCTTTCCAAGCTATCTTTCGAATATTTATAAAATCATTCTCTGCTTTTGAGTCCTTTTAAAGGTATTCTTTGTTTATTACTTCTGTTTCCTCCAACTCTGCAACTTCCTGTGTCTTTTCTGTCAGCAATTCTAAGTCTGAAATATCTGTTTTCTTCTAATATTTTCCATCCAATAACATCTAATGGCAGTAGAAATTACATGCATTAGGTTCCTTGCCTTGTATATTTCTTAAAAGTTTATCTCAAAAGGTCTTTCTTGTAAATTTAACATGAATTTCTCTTGGAAGATTTTTATTTCTGGTGTATGCTGTATTAATTCTTCATGCTGTGTCTATATTTTATTGACCACCTCCTGGTCGCATCTCCATGAGTGATGTTAAATAAGTAGTAATCACTTGTGCGGTATCCTTTTTGTTCTGATAGGTTCTGGAATCTAAGTATGGCATTGGCTCATCTTGCTTGCTTTCCCATTTTAATTCTCCCATCTCTGTATTCATGGTCTCCAGTCTTTCTTCTGTTCTTTTTGATGTCCCAGCTATTCTGGCTATTTCTTTTTTATTTTCTGTAATTTGATTTTTAGTATCAGTTATTTGCATCCCTAAGTCTTTCATTTGTACACATAGCTGAACCATCCCTCCTTGTAATTGCTGTAGCCCTATAGATAGCATCTCTTGAATACTCTGTTGCCAGTCCTTAAATGACTCTTGCCCCAGTAATCCACTGAGATTCTGTTATTGTGCTGGTGAACCTCTTTGAGTTTTCTCCTTTCCAACTTTTGTCACCATATTGATTTTCCCCCTTTCTTCCTAAATTAAGTAAATAAGGAATGCTGTTCAAGTCTTCTGTCAGCAGATGTCACTGTAACCTTACTTTTCTTTCTCAATCTTATTTACATATCAGATCCAAGAGCAGGGTGGCACTAACCTCAGGGTAGAAAGTTCTCACAGTCACCAAGTCACAACAATAAAATTTAAAGGACCCACAATGCTTTGAAGTAAATAGGATTTGATATCAGTGTTTCAGATAGTCACAGGAACAAGAATCTTATCTTAGATTGATCTCCTTTTGTGATGAGGTAGTTTTCTCCCCCTTTTCCCTTTTTTCCCCCTTTCTCCTCTTCTCCCCCCAAACCAAACTAATGGGGGGGGGTGCTTGCTTCCACCATGACAGTAAGATTTTTTTAAAAGGTAAAGTCCATTTTGCTGACTCTTTATATCTATCTCTTTTCTGTGTAGTCATTTGGGTCCATGGAGTTTTTTCTTACATGAACAAATATTTTATCTTACTCAGAGTCTCTGGATGAGATATTTCCAACATCCTTTTGCACTCTCTCACACTCTGCTAGGGTTGTTCCCAGCTCTTTGCTAAAATGACTTCCTCCTCAGTCCATGCACTCAGACATGACTTTGGAGGGAGAACCAGCCTTCACCAGTTCCTCTTTTAGCTTTTGTCATCTCTGCTGCCACTTCTCCTAGCAGACCATCCTCCCCCCAGTTAGAAGCCCCCAGAACCGAGGAGTCCCAATCAGTTTCAGGAGCTTGCCTGAAACCTGGCTAGTTCTCACCATGACAAAACCCCGCCTCGACACTTGCATGATCTTGATGGAGGAAGATTCACAACAGTCAAATTCTTTAACTATCTGCTGCAAAGAATCATAATTTGAGAAAGAATACATGGCCATATCCAACCAGGTCCCCCCAATGCATCCTGACAAATTGGAGAGGGAGAGCCAAGCTGGGGGCAATTTCTTTGAACCTTTGTACTTGAAGTGCAGCTTTAATGAACATTTTCCCCCAGTTTGAAATTATCTACATCAGGTTAGTTGCTTCAAATCTCTTGGCCATTCTGTATAAATTATGTGCAAGGCACATGATATAGATCATTTTGGATAAAGAAGTTTAAGTATCTTGGCTGTGTTAGTCATGGATGGAGGGGCTTCTGTTACAGAGAGGAGGATGTTTATCAGCCGCCCAGAGTAGTTTCATAGACTCGTCACAAAGCATAGCAATAGTGGAATTATTTACTTTTTGTAGTTTCACATATTAGAAGAAATTCTTTACCAGCCTTGTCAAATTTCAGAGTGCCAATAGAATCATAGAATAGTGAAGTTGGAAGGGGCCCATCAGGCCATCAGACCCAACCCCTGCTCGATGCAGGAATACTAATCAAAGGATATATCTTTTGAATGCCTCCAATGCTGGAGCACTCACTACCTCTCAAGGTAACTGGTTCCACTGTTGTTCCAATAGTTAGAATGTTTTCTGGGCAGGGAATTGTCAAGGTGAAGATCGGACGTACCCAGGCTTTTCTCCTGGGACATACCAATTCCTACCCACTTATTTGGACCCCAAGAGGGATCTGAATACATCTTTCAGGAATGGAAGATGTGGAGCAAGCGGTGGCAGCAATATGAGCCAGGGTAATCAATGAGAGGCAAGATAGCCAGCTTGGAACCCCGCATCATATGCACCACCTGGGACAGTGCCATTTTGGCACAAAACCTAGAATGCCCCAAGACAGAATGTGAGTGACAACAAAAGAATGTGGGAAGTATACTGCAACCAAAGTCAACATAAGAAGGAGCAGCAATAGTAAGTCTGAACAGTTATTGGATATATGGGGATATATACAATAATTGAATCCGAAAGTTGGAGAAAGGATGGATGTGGAGAGGTGCATGAATATTAGTCAAGA